AAGAGCACCTGCAACACAGTAGGTGCATGGTAGGAGCTTTGCTTAGTATGTTTAAGGTAACCTGGGGGTGAATCCACGGCTTGGAGTAATAGATAGATTGGCTGAAATAAGAACTGCTAACTGAAAAAGCGATAGGGGTAGTGCAACCACAAGCTTTATGAGCAGTCGCCTAAGCTGCATCAGGGTGGCAGAGGAGAAAAAAAAAAAAAAAATAAAGGGCAATGATGCAGCAAACTCCTCGACTGTCTGCTTCTCAAGAACTGATAACCTGAGGGAGGGGGTATATTTGTGTCCTCCTGCCTACAGGTCCATGGCGACTACCTGCAAAGTTTGTCCAGCCTTGCCATGAGCTGGACGGACAAATGGAGATACCTGATGCCTCAGCTACAGGAGCTGACTGTGAATACCCCAAGCAGAATGAGATAGAGGAAGAGAAAAACGAATGATTGCAAAACATCACTTGGGGGCAACTGAAAAGTAACATCCTGAATATGTGTGCTTGTAAAATAGCTATTATTAGAGGCTGTGATTCTGTGTATAAAACCACCTGTATTTACTAGCCAGTAGCTAGTAAGAAACTACACCTTGTATTATATAGATTTGTCACTTGTAAAAGAGATGTTAGAGTATGGAAATTTGCTGTAGCTGTGTTGCAGAATGACTCTAAGAGCAGGACCATAGAGCCCTGGAGGACTGTGCGAGCAAGGCAGGGGGTGGCCCCCACAGGTAACTGGAGACCGGACATGGGAGGAGAATGTGGAGGAAGCTGTGTAGGGCTAACCAATACTGTTGTGCCAAGGAGGAGTGGCTGAATACCACTCCTATATATATGTGAACTGCATCACAAATAAAGGAGAAGTTTGCTTATCACTCATATTGGGTTGGCCTGTCTGCTTCTCCTCTCCGCTTACATAGCTGCTTGAAAATGCTAAGGCAAAAGCTGAAAAGATTCTAATACAATAGTAGTGTTATAAAGCAGGTAATGGAACAATTTAAGAGTGTGGGAGAATTCCACTGGTAAGAAATTTCTTTGGCTAGTCCCTTGCTCCCATCACATCTTCAGTATGCTGCTGCACCCTGTAATAGTTACTCTGCTAATGTAAATTTGTGTGTGCCTTGCTGTAGTAGCGACTTGTTACTGGATGAATCAGGTGAAACTCTGCATTGACAACAAGGTGCAAGGACTGAGGCTGACAAAATGCCTGCTACCACAATCAAGGGCAAGACTGGGTTGGCCTCTGTGTTTGCCACCAAGAAGAACCTTTAGCTCCGCTAAAGGAGTTAAGTCTTTATAGAAAATGGCAATTGCTTGATCACATTGATTGTCTCTGCGTTGTCCGTGACTCCCGCGTCAACACTCACATGCCTCTGTGCACGTTTGGCTGTGAAGTTCCAGGTGTGACCAACATGTCTGGGATTTTTCCATGTCCCAGCACAGCTATACCCCAGTCACCCACCCACAGCTGCTGGCATACATAGGAACATTTCCCATACTTTTTCAAGTGACACTAAGAAAACCCAGCTGTGAACACACTCCCGTGGTACTTCTTCAACTATCTACTCTTCCTGTACCTGCTTTTCACCAGCTCAGCTTCCCAGCTACATCTGTGTCACCACTGCTGCTCCTTTTGCTCCTCCATGACAAGGAAGTTGGTGACACAGTGCTGGCTTGAGCTTGTTTCTTTTAGGGTAACTGGGGCAGAGAAGGGAGAGAAAATAAGACTAAGAACAGCTTTCAATTCCTCTCCCTAAATAATTTTATTGTAAAGCGACACCATACCCATGTCCAATTGATAGTGGGATGTTTATGTTGGGAGGAAATATCAGAGGCCATTACACTAGAAAGAAGATCAGGAAAAAAAAAGAAAATAAAAATTTACCAAGTTCCATGAAGCCTCCCTTGCCACTGTATGCACACCCTTTTTTCTTTGCTTCTGTTCATTACTCACAATACAGATTAATCTGGGGCTTGTGTGTTGCTAACAGACCCCATGAGCCAGAATGGGTGGCTGCTTCCTCAAAGTATGCTCTGCTGAATGTGGCTCCTCAAATTCGAGGTTCTTACATCAAGGTAACTTGTTAAATTAACACATGTGCCCATGCTAACATTAAAAGATCTTCTAGGAACCATTTTGAAGATTATATACTTCTAGAAAGTTTCATATTTTATTATTTTGATAAGAATGCAAATGGCTGCTTTGTATCAATGTAAGCTCATCGAATTCAAACTGATCCCTATTGCTACATCTGTTCAAACCTGCTTCTGGAAATCACAGGAACACTCAGGGAAATTACTTGATTCTTGAAATACCAAAAGCAATACAGACTGGCTACAACCTCCAGAAGGTACTCTGAATTAGCAGCAAATCCGTCGTTACCAGTAGTGGTACAAAGCAATCCTACAAGCAGAGTAAAAGCTACCCCATGAAAGAGTATTTACAAAGTTACTCTCCTGGCACAAGATAAAAATCCAGCTCCTGGAACCGTAAGTCTTCAGAGCATGCAGATCAAAGTAGCTTCTTTCTGTACTGCTTTAGAAAACAATATGGACCAAATGCAACAGACACAGGGACCAAGCTGTATTTGAGAGGTTTGTAAAGTTTGTAGTCAAACCACTGCCCAACTCAGGTTCAAAACAGAGCCATGCTTGGATCCAGTTTTTAAATAGTACTGTTGCCAGCACTATAGCCTATGGTGATTTTGACTTGAAGAGGCTGGTCCACAAGCTTGAAGAAATATCTGATGGGGCAACAGCCCTCTTCCAGTCGCCGCACATATGTGTGAAAATGCTCAGAATTACCAAACTCAAAAGTATCAACAGAAGGCAGAAGTGAAGGTCCCAAAGGTGAGACAGACACTACTCTCCTGCCAAGAACCAGTGCTCTGGGAAAATAGCGAGTCTTACTGTAGCACTACACACATCGACTCTCATCCTCCTGCTCGTGCTAAATTTGACTCAGTAATATAATAAACAGAAAACCAAGAAGTACAAAGTCATCATCCAAGAAAGGGTACAGGAAGGGGAAGTTAGGCACACCGTTTTTCTTTCATAGAATAGTTAGGGTTGGAAACAACCTTAGGAGCATCAAGTTCCAGCCCCCTCGTCATGAGCAGGGATACCTCACACTAAACCATGTCACCCAAGGCTCTGTCCAACCTGGCCTTGAGTACCACCAGGGATGGAGCATTCACAACTTCCCTGGGCAACCCATTCAAGTGCCTCACCACACTTACAGTAAGAGAACTTCCTCCTTATATGCAATCTTAACTTCCCCGGTTTAAGTTTTAACCCGATACCCCTTGTCCTATCACTACAGTCAATAATGGAGATTCCCTCCCATCCTTATAAGCCCCCATCAGATACAGGAAGGCTGCTATGAGGTCTCCACACAGCCTTCTCTTCTACAGGTTGAACAGCCCCAACTTTCTCAGCCTGTCTTCATACGGGAGCTGCTCCAGCCCCCTGATCATCCTTGTGGCCCTCCTCTGGACTCGTTCCAACAGCTCCATGACCTTTTTATGTTGAGGACACCAGAACTGCACACAATACTCCAGGTGAGGTCTCACAAGAGCAGAGGAGAGGGGCAGGATCACCTCCTTCGACCTGCTGGTCACGCTCCTTTTGATGCAACCCAGGATACGGTTGGCTTTCTGGGCTGCGAGTGCATACTGCCTGCTCACATTAAGTTTCTCTTCAACCAGCGCCCCCAGATCCTTCTCCGCAGGGCTGCTCTGAATCTCTTCTCTGCCCAACCTGTAGCTCTGCCTCGGATTGCTCCGACCCAGGTGTAGGACCTTGCACTTGCCATGGTTAAACTTCATAAGGTCGGCACCAGCCCACCTCACAAGTGTGTCAGGGTCCCTCTGGATGGCATTCCTTCCCTCCAGCGTATCAACCGAACCACACAGCTTGGTGTCATCGGCAAACTTGCTGAGGGAGCACTCAATCCCACTGTCCATGTCAGCAACAAAGATGTTGAACAAGACCAGACCCAACAATGAGGGGCACCGCTCGTTACTGGTCTCCAGCCTGACATTTTGCCATTGCCCGCAACTCTTTGTGTGCGACCATCCAGCCAGTTCCTTATCCACCGAGTGGTCCACCTATCAAATTGATGTCTCTCCAATTTAGAGACAAGGATGTCGTGTGGGACAGTGTTGAACACTTTGCACAAGTCCAGGTAAAGGATATCAACTGCTCTACCCCTGAATCTGAAATCACAGGATCCCATCAAAACTCGCCTATCAACCAGTATTAAGCTGTTCCTCCCCAGGGCTCAGCAGATGCCAGAACATACTCTCTGAAACATAACATTATTCTAAAAAATTTGGATTTTTCCAAAAGAAACATCCACCTGATAAAAATTGTCAGGGTACCAGCGATGAGGGGATACCATGTTGGGAGGACAGGCTCATAAAACACTTTCAGAAAAGACTCCTTATGCTTTCAAAAATCACATTGAATTGACACCCGCTACTCCAGAAAAGCTTAGTATCAAGCAACATTTTTCCTCGAGTCTAAATGGCAGAGCTCATTGCTGCAGAAAACTTGCTGGTTATCATCCAGAGAAACAGAATATTTTCAAAATCTAGTTGAAGCTTTTGGTAGTTATTTTCTTCCTAAAAATGCAGCCTAATCATTGCTTTTTTGTACCTGAAAAACAGAAAAAGCAAGTGAAAAAATCTGCTTTAGAAGTTTTTCTCGTTCAGTTTAACGTGTGCGTGCAGTTCTACTCATGGTCTTTTTGAGACCCCTTGACTAGTCTGGCTGTGAACATCATGACACACGCCAGTTATCTTGCCATAACAAGATTCCATGCGACATGAGCGAAACGTGGGGCTCAGGGCACCCCGGGGGGACTCAAGTGACCAGGGGAGAACAGGCCTTGTGCCCCTCACAGGAATACCCTGTCCCTCACGGTCTGAGTGGTGGGCTACCGTGGTGCCTTCTGTGACCAGCGCTTTGTGACGTGCCCTTCGTGACCCACCATGTTGCCCTTAGCGACGTTCTCGTCGTGACCCACCATGCTGCCCTTAGTGACACGCCCTCTCTGACCCACCATGGTGCCCTTAGTGACGTGCCCTTTATGACCTACCATGGTGCCCTCAGTGACGTTCCCTTTCTGACCCACCATGGTGCCCTTTGTGACGTGCCCTAGGTGACCCCCCAGGCCACCGTATAAAAGGCAACGGGTCATACCGCTCATGCCAGTGTCCGGCAGGACAGTGACGGGACAGAGCGGGAGCGCAAGGCTGGCGCAGACCCCTGAGCGCAGCCCACGTTGTTCCCCGCTGCCCCAGCAGCCCTGCGGTGCCGAGACACTTCTTGGAACATTCTTCGTTCCCCGCGCTACACCTTTGCCTTGTCTGATGAGGATGGCGGAGGGACACGCTGCATCCATGCAGTTCATCCAGACTTTTCTGGAGAGCTCAGTGAAGGTAATTACAGCCATTTCCAGGGTAGCAGTGCCTGCGTTTCCTGACGGGGCCACCGGCTCTGCTGCCAGGGCTGCTGGGGGCTGCTGGCTGGGCGCGGCTGCACCCCCGGGCTCCTGCACAGCACTGCAGCCCCAGTGCTCCAGTCCTGCTGGCCCCTTCTCACACTGCCCGTTTGTGTCTCTGCTCCCCGGCTGCCCAGGAGGAGGCTCAGAAGATTCGGTTCCTGCAGACCGTCTCCACCCTGAGCAAGGATGCCAGAGATGAGGGCTTCACACAGAAACTGAAGGAGTTCTACCACCGATTTCAGGTGGCAAAGAACATCGAGGTGAGGGGACCCCCGGCTGCTCTGGGGAAGGGGGCAAGTTGCCAGGCGCCGGCACACTGTGAGGACACACGGGGCCCATGCAGGGGGAGGGCAGGGACCAGCGTGCGCGGACAGACACTGAGCTGCCTGAGGGGATGCGGGTGTCGCTGAGCAGCCCTGCAGCAGGGCCGTGCTGGGGGCCGGTGCTGGGCTGGGGACAGAGGGTCTCCACCAGCCCTGCCGCCTGGTGCCTGCGGCCACCAGGTCCCATCCCGGTTGTGTTCTGCAGGCGCTGGTGGAAGAGGAGCCCGTGGACCACCTGCACACGGCCGTGCGGCAGCAAGCCATGCTTGCCCTCGCCCATATGAGGTATGTGCCCAACCCCTGGTTTGGCTGACACCTCTGCACAGTCCGTGGCCCTGGGCCTGCCCATGGGCATCTCCCATCCCGGCAGAGTCCAGTGGTGCCCTCAGAGGGCCTGCTCTTTGCCCTGCTCGCGGCTTGCGGAGAGATGGAGGGGAAAGCAGAGGGATCCTGCAGGGCCCCTCCACGTCTCAGCTGCTTCCAAAAGTGGGAGGCGGGAGACTTTCCTGCCAGGACTGTCCTTCGGCCTGGGCCATGCCAAGGAGGGAGGAGGTGCCTCCTGGCAATGCTGCCCACACACCAGGGCTCCATCCCGCTTGGGGGCCTCTGCTCCAGAGGTCTGTGTCCACCTGGCCAAGGCATGGAGGCAGCGCTCCCAGCACCCGCGTCTCACAGGTCCCTCTCTCTCTCTTTTCAGCAAAGTGGAGATGGCACTGGGGGGCAAGAAGAAAAGCCTTTTAGAGGCCTGTTTCAGGAGTGTCTTCTTGCTTCCTCCTAAAACAGACATGCAGGGCCTAGACAATTTCCTCTACTTTAAGGTAAGTGCTGTTGTGCTGTCAGGAGCACTCAGAGCTGCTCCCTGGCTGCCACGTGCTGAGACACAGCCAGAGATCCAAGGCACGGCAGGGTGTCAGCTTTGCTTTCCCACCCTCGTCCCTTCATCTCCTTCCCCTGGGCCTCACCATGTCCAGTGCCTCTGGACTGGCTCCTCTGCCCGCCGCAGCTTGTCTGCCCCAAGGCCTCCCTTGGCCAACCAGAGGTGGCAGGGGTGTCCTCCCCTAGCGTGGGGAGTTAGATCCATTCCCAGGGAGAGAGGGACTGCAGAAAGACTGACACAACCATTTTCCTCCTTGCAGACCCTGGATGCCATGGACATCCTGCTTAAGAGCTTGGTGCTCAGCTCCCCTGGCTGCAAGGACCTGAGGATTATCTTGCAGGTGCGGCACTGGCAGAGAGCGGGGTTCGCAGAGGCTGTTCCTCACTCTGGAGGGACAGGAGTGTCCACTCTGGAGTGGACGGTGTCCTCCCCAGCACCATGCACACAGCACACCGCACAGAGGGTGCTCAGCTCCCTTGGGGGACCCAGACACGGCCCACCGTGCTCTTCCAGGAGCAGCGTGTCCCCTGGCTGCAGTCAACGTCATTTCTCCCCTGCGGCCTCCTTCTGTGCCATGGCAAAACCTGGCCCATGGCACTTTTGGGCCAGCTCCATCCCCAGAGCTTTCCTCGCACCAAAGGAGTGGGGAGCATTGACCCCTCTCCTCAGGCACCGCAGCAGTGGCTGCGGCTGCTGTCCTTCTTCCCCTGCCTCGCAGTCCCTCCTGCTTTTCTGCCCAGGTCTGACTGGGGCAGAGACCCACTGGAACCTGCCTGTCCTGCACAGGGAGCCCAGCCCTGACGCTCCGCACTCCTGGCTTCCCAGAGAGCAGTATGCCCATTCCCCCATTGCAGACCCACCGCCCCCTGGCAGGGTGCTGCCCAAAAGCCCAGCCTTCATGGAGAGGGGACACAGGCCTGTGCTTTCGGGGAGGGCGCAGAAAGAAGCAGACTCTACCCTGGGGTGGCCTCTGCCTCCCTTCAGGGCCACAAAAACTGCATGGGTCCAGTCGGGACTTGAGAAGTGCTGCTGCTGCTGCTGGCAAAGGCACCAGTTCCCAGGGCACAGCAGCACTTTCTCTCCTTCCAGATGCTGCTGCCTTTCACCGACACTAAGAATGCAGCTGCATGTGAAAGGGCTGTGGTCAGGATTGGGAAGCTGGTCGATTTGATGGACAGCTCTTCCTCGGTGCAGGTAAGGAGGCAGGCACCCTCCAGCCAGGCTGTCTCCCATTCCCTGCCCACCGTGGGCAGCAGCCTGCAGCTCGAGATGCCTGAGGCATTCAGCACAGCTCTGCCCTGGGCGAGGGTCTCGGCTTCTTTCTTTTTCCCCCAGTCTTTCCTCCCCAGCACCCTTTCTTCCAGAAGCCAGTCCTGTGAAGGACAGCACTGCCCAAGGAGCATGGCGGGAGGCCAGGCCTGACAGCTCTCCCTGCCCTGCTGCCCAGCTCGCTGCTCTGGGAGGGCCCTGCAGAGCTCTGACGTGCCAGGATCCTTCCCCGGGGCAGACTCTCGGGTTCAGGGCTTTTGTCGCAGCTGCTGCCTCTCAGCCCTTCTACCCATCCTGCCTCCCTTGCCCAGGTCTGGAGCTTGCTTACAGATGACAACAGCTCTTCCCACGGCGACGCTATCCATGACCGCCTCCTGGGACAGCTGCTGGGACATCTCATTGTTTGCTGGACTAGCAAGATCTGGGAGATCCAGTATGAGGCTTTGGATACTCTTCATTACCTCTGCAGATGCATCCAGCAGCAAAAATGTAAGAGAAGCTGTGTTGGGCTGCATCCCTCCACACACAGACATCTCCTCGTAGTCCTGCTTGTTTCCCTGAGCACTGCAGTGGATTCTTTTTGTACTTGCTGGAGGCTGTCCAGGAAAGCCTGCCCTCTTCCCTCACCTCCTTTGCCCCTCACAACTGCTCTCCCACAGCACCCCAGCTATTGTTTTGCTGCAGAAGCTGAATGCTCACCACAAGTCCAGTACTGTGCTGCTCTGCTTCCCACTCTTCTCAGGACCTCTCAGTACCCAGCTGTTCCGTGGTCCCCATAGCCAAAGCCGTCATTGATGGTAAGCAATACTGTGTCCTAATGACCCTCCTGTGATCCCCTCTTGTTTAGGTGTGACATCACCAGAGGATGATCTAAAGCATCCCCAGTGTGGAGGCGAAAGGAAAGCTGGGAAACCCTCCTGGCTTTCCGTGTGCAGCACCAGGAGCATTGTAAAGGTAATGAGCTTCTCCCTTGCTGGGCCTTGTCCAGGGCATCAGCAGGAGACTGGTGTGAGCAAAGGGGTCCAGAACGAGCAGGCTTGCCATGGTCTCACTGTCCCTGGTGAGAGGGCTGCTGCTGCTCTGGAGCAGGGACTCCAGAGGGCTGCACTCCGGTGTCCCAGCAGCAGCTCCAGCTCTCCTGGCCACCAGGAAGCCCCGCTTCTCTGTAGGATCAGCACACCGTGCCCACGGCCCCAGCCCTCCTCCCTCACCCTAGGCCCCTCTCTTCTCATCCTCCACCCCGCAGCGACTGCAGCCCCTGCTGCCAGCTTTCCTGTGGGTACTCTCGCCAGAGCTGCTCTCGCTGCTCAGCTGAGCAGCACTATCAGGGCACTCGGTGTGAGACGCCTTCCCTGCCTTCCTTCCTCCCGCAGGCATTTGGGGAAGACCTCCACCCCCCTGATAAGACGGTCATCCTTGTCAAGGCCATCGAGGCCATGAGAGACTCATGCACATGCGACAAGGAGGAACTGATCAGCATTGTGGATGTGGCCATGACAGAACCTGCCTCCTGGCTGACGGAGGTAAGCAGCCTGTGGCTGCCCTGCCCTTGAGCCCTTTCAGGCACTGTTCCTCCCTACATCGGCCTTGCCTCACCCAGGTGCCTCAGGCACCTTGAAGCCATTTCACACCAGCAGAGTAGGATGGGAGGGGCGGCCATTTCAGTGGCAGCTGAGGAAACGGCTGCAGTCTGGTGGCAGCACCACCCTCACTCGTGTGCCCTCCAGGTGCCAGTCATCGTTAGCTGCATCTATAACAACCTGGAGCACATCAACACACTGTCAGTCTGGCACACCCTGGACATGCTGCTTCTAATGATGGCAGAGCAGTGGCCAGGGGATGTGATCCTGCGACTCGTGCATCTCTCTCCAGAATGTGACAGGTACTGACCCCCACAGCCCTTGTGGGTTTGTTCTATGCAGGGAGAAGGGGCTGGAGGCCCACAGAAAACTACAGGGCACCCCTGAGGAGCAGGGCCCTGCACCCCCCCACTCTCTCCACCCCTGCTGGGTCGGCCAGGCCTGCAGTAGCCAAAGCTGGCCAAGTTAGATCCGAGTCCCGGCACGAGGTTCCTCCCTACCCCATGGGGAACACTATCTCAGCCCCCTCCTGCCTGTCCAGGCACTCCAAGCAAGGGGTCGGGAAGGGCCAGGGCTGCAGGACAGCCTGGCTGCTGCAGGACAGCCTGGCTGCTGCAGGACTGGCCCAGGCACCGTGTGGTGGCTGAGGTGGCCCTGCCGACAGAGTGCTCTGCGTCTGCAGTGTTGCTATGGCCATGTGGGAAGTGCTGCTCTCCCAGCGCCTCATCTTGGAGAACAGCCTGAGGGAGCTGAGCATCAGGTTCCACTACCTGAGTGTGCCATGGAGATTCAGCACCTACAAAGCGGAGGCCTGCATCCAGCTCTTGGCTGTGAGTAACCAGCCCACTCCTTGCTCATGCTCAGGGCCGTGCCTGCCTCTCCAGGAAAATGGGCACGGCCCTCACCCCTGCCATCTGCCCCATACGGTCCCAGAGGAGGACACAGCCCCTTAGGGCCAGTCCAGCACCAGGTTCCCCTGCCCCAGCCACGCAGGGCCACGCTGACTGGGTGCGGGTGCGCAAAGCCCCTGTCTGCCCAGGTAGTGCTCTGCTTGCACAGGCGGAGCTAGCACAGACAAGCGTGTGGTGTGTCCCACAAGCGCTGAGTGTCCCCCAGGATGGGCTCTCCGTCCCCTGTGCCCTTGCCCTGAGCTGCCAGTGGGACCCAGGGGCCGTACTGTGCAGGGAGCCCTGCAGGCTTGGTCCATCTCTCACTGCCATCTTTGTTTCAGCTGCTCGCCTCCAGCCATGTGACACCAAAAATGTTTGCTGGGGTGTACGAAATCCGGAAGCTGCTGATGCCTCCAAGGCTGCTCTCCCTGGTGCTCCAAGGCCTCGTCACACTGTCACAGTCACCTGACTCGGTGAGCAGGGCATAGTCAAGTGAAGCCGTGCTGGCCACCTGGTGCTGGGCAGTGGGGAACGCGGTGGCTTGACCTGGGCTGGGAGTCGGGACCTGGGGTGACGGCTCTAGATGCCCTCAAAGTCCCCTCACGTGCCCCCATCCCCTCAGTGCGCCCACAGGCAAGGCCTGCCAGGAGGCTGCTGCAGGAATTCCTGTGCCACCGCCCATGCAGCCGGACAGGAGGCTGGTGCTTAATGGCCAGAGCATTTTGGCCTGGGTGGTCTTTCACCACTTCACAAGAAAGAAATTCTGTGCTTCTTACAGGCAAGGAAAATACTGGTCATGCTGCCAGACTTGATGGAGGCCCTGCAGAGCGCCCACAGCGACAACAAGATGAAGGCCCTGCTCACGTTCAGAAACGTAATAGGTCATTTGAAGAAGAAGGCCAGCTCCATCGCTCTGGAGCTGGCCGAGAAGCTCCTTCAACTCTTTGATGATGTAAGGCTGCTGTGGAAACCTGAGTCCCACTGACGGGCCCTTTGCAAGAGCAACTGCCCGGCAGCACAGCCTGGCGGCAGCGCTTGCCCAGGGCTAAGCCTCTCCTTCTGCCCCCGCGCTCTCGTGGGGATGGCTTCTGGTCTCTGCAGCCCAGCCCAGCTTCTCCCCGACAGGCTGATGGCTCTGGGAGACCTGAGGCCCCTCCCCTCAGCCACGCTGACGCCCTGGCTCAGGGAGCAGCTGTTACTGAAGCCCTCCTGTCCTCCTCCCTACCAGGAGTGCAGCCAGACGCAAGAGCTCTCCATCTGCCTCTTCAAAGATGCAATACAGATGGCGGATTGGAAGGACAAGCGGCAGATGCAGAAGAAGGTGCGGAGGAGCCTGGTCCCACTCATGTTGCACATGAGTGACGAGATCGAGAGCGTGGCCAAGGTACGGATTCCAAACCTAAGCCGTGGTGCGGGGCAGGGTGTGCTGAGCCCGCAGGGGTGGCCTGGGCATCAGTGAGGGCAGGAGCAGCTGACACAGACATTTCCCACACCTGCCCTACGTGGTCCAGCAGGGCTCAGCAGCAGTCCGTGACCACCAAGGCCTGAAGAGCGGAGTCCGCAGGGGCTTCCCAGCTGTCCCTGCAAGTGCTGAGGGCCAGGCCTTTGGGTCTCAGGCCCTGTCCACAATCCCCAATCCTTGTCCCCCTCTGCAGGCCTCTCAGGAAGCCATCTGTGCAGCTGCGAAGGTGCTCAAATGGGAATGGCTCAGTCACCACGTGCAGACACTGGAGAGATGGCAAACTGTGCAGCGCTTGGTGAGGACAAGTCCCAGGCTGGACACGGGGTGCTCCTCTCACCTCCCCACCCTCAGGATGTTGCAGGAGGCACATCTGGGCCCTGGCAGTGGCACAGGGGGCTCTCAGGAGCTCCAGACCCTGCTCTGCCTGCAGCTGTCTCTGAACCTCAGCCCCACAGGGCTCCTGGCTGGGAGACACACATGGCCTGAGGAACAAGGGGAGGTGTGGGGTGCTGGTAGGAGGGAACGGCCCAGGCAACTGGGGAAGGTCTGTGTCAGCCCTGGGCCATTGTGCTCTTTCCAGCTGGAGCAGGAGCAGAGCAGAGCAGAAGAATATGTGCGTCAGAGCCTGCTTTACCTGCAGCACGCTCAGGTCAGCGTGCGACTGGCAGCTGTGAGGTTCATTGGTAAGCCGCGGCCCCTGGAGTCCCTCTTTTGGCAGCCTGGCCCCAGTCCCATCTGCTGCACTGGCAGCGAGGAGCAGCCCTGTGGCTGCCAGAGCATCGACTGCCCCGTGCAAGGCCTGTGCAGCCAGGGGCTCTTGTGCTTCCCTCTCCAACCCCTGCCCTCGCAGCGGGGCTCAGTGGCACCTTGCTCAGTGCCACCTCCCCCTGCGTCCTGTCCTTCCCTGGGGTCACCCTGCTGAGGGGAGGAAGGGGTGCAGCCAAACCGGCAGAGGCGGGGCCATGCTGCCGGCAGCGTGCTGGGCAGCAGCAGGTCTGATGGAGCTCTCTGCACAGGGATGGCCGCTCGGTGCCTGAAGGAGAGCCGCGCGGACACGCTCCTGGAGGTTTGCGAAGGTAAGCAGGGACAGTGCTGTGTGTGCTGGGGCTGGTGGGGCAGGGGACAGAGCCTGGGCAGCGTGCTGCCATGCCCTGTCCTGCTCCAGGGAACATCTCGGGGGCATTTGTTGCATTCCTGAGCAGCAGCTTCCAGGTGATCCGTTTGCCCCGCCTGCGCCTCCTGACCAGGGAAAGGGATGGCTGGGGCTGGCATGGTCTGGAAGGGATGCCTGCTGGTCTCTGCAGATTGGTGGGTTTCAGCTCTGCTCTCTTTCCTTCTCTTGCAGCCCTCCATGCTCTGAGAAGCCACGAGGAATCCCAAGTCTCCTCCCTGGCATCTCAGACAATACACATCCTCACCTGTTTACACGCGCGGCCAAGACGGAGATGGATCCTGCAGGCGCTGTGCTGCTGCCTCTGAAAAGCCAGGCAGCAGTTAAGCCCTGCTTAAGAAAATGGGTCTTTCGGATTAAAGTTCTAACCACAATTCCAAGGCCATTGTGTTCTTCACACGCGGCGCGGAAAGGCCTGTCAGGAGCTGCCGGGCAGCCTTTGCGCCCCGGCCGCCCTCGTCGGCCCGGCCACGGTCTTTGGGAGCACCGCCGCCAGAGTGCACAAAAGTCAGGGCCACACCTCCACAGTTTCTCTGAGCATCCTGTTCCAGTGCCTCACAACCCCCTCCACTGCAGGCACCCCCTTCAGCCACTCCATCTGAGCGAAGGCATTGGCCACCACCAACACAGATGGTGTAGGTCACCCCTGCTGGAGCTGCAGCATTTGCTCTCTGATAAGTGCCCGCCTTTCTTCCTTCAGGGCTACGTGGCATGTGTGCTCGGACCTGTGCAGGCGGCCTTGGAATGTCTCTCCTTCCAAGAGGTGCCTGTCCTCCCCGCACACCCTTCTATGCCATGTTCTCTGTGTTCCCAGCGCTGCCTTTTGCAGGAGCTTAGGGTGGTCCCACCCGGTTCCCAGCAGGTCTCGATGCTTGCCTGGGTTTCCCCGCCTCGAGAAAACTCCACTGTATGCCACTGTCTGCCGTGAGTCCCTGATCCACTGAGGAATGTGCCTTCCCTGGAGATGTTCCTTTTTATGTTGAGGACATCAGAACTGCATACAATACTCCAGGTGAGGTCTCACAAGGGCAGAGGAGAGGGGCAGGATCACCTCCTTCGACCTGCTGGTCACGCTCCTTTTGATGCAACCCGGGATACGGTTGGCTTTCTGCGCTGCGAGTGCACACTGCCTGCTCATCTTAAGTTTCTCATTGATCAATGCCCCCACGTCCTTCTCTACAGGGCTGCTCTGAATCTCTTCTCTGCCCAACCTTCCATTCCAACACTCCAGTTATAGGAGCCATCCCACCACGTTTCTGCGACCCCCGTAGACGTGCACACATCTCTAATTCCTCTTGTTTGTTCCCCATGCTACGGGCGTTTGTATAGAGGCACCTGAGCCAAGCTCCAAATGAAGCCGGCTCATTGGCTGGAGCAGCTGGAGTATCTCTACATTGCTCCAAGCATTTATTATAGGTGCTGGCAACTGACTGGGTGTGTTGGGATGGAATGATGCCCCCCTCCCCCAACACATCTAGTTTAATGCATCCTTGACCAGTCTGGCAAGCCTCCTACCAAAACTGTTCTTCCCTTCTTTATCAGACCAGCTCCACCAGACCCCCCTAGACCTGGCCTACTTACTTGGGTCCCGTGTCCAAGATACCCAAACCCCTGACTATGGTACCACCCTTCTAACCATTTATTAACCTGGCCAATCCTCCTAGCCTTTTTGGGGTCCTCCCCTGTATCCTGAAGAATTGATGAGAAGACTGTCTGCGCTCCAGAGCCCCTAACCACCTCTCCTAGGGCTCTGTAGTCCTTCTTTATGTTCTCCAGGCTACTGCTATCTGTATCACTAGCACCCACATAGATCACTAGAAGTGGGTAATAGTCAGTGAGACTTACAAGAGCAGGTAGCCTCTCTGCAACATCTCTGATCCGTGCCCCTGGTAGGCAACACACCTCCCTTGAGAATGGGTCAGGCTGACAGATGGGTGCCTCTGTGCCTTTCAGAGTCCCCTACTACTATGACCCGCTGCTTTTTCCCGGCAGCACCAGTAGTGATCTTCTTTAGCAGTACCCCAGCCGGCTGTTTCTGATGCAAGTGTTTCCTCATCAGCCCCCCGCAGGACAGCAAAGCGGTTCTGGGTGGGGACAACAGATTTACGAGGAAGCCCCTTGGTTTTGTCTTCTTCCTCCTTTTTTTTGTTGGTGCTGTTCCCCAGCTTCCTGGGTTAACGGCCTCCTTCTTTCCTCCGTGAACTATAGGGGACGCTTGAGGCCCCTGCACAGTTTGGGCCTGCAGCAAGCAGTCCTGCTTCCTCTCAGCTTCCCTGACATCTCGCAGTCTATTGACAGCATCCCGCACCTCAGCCCCTGCTGCAGGAGGACCTGCACCAGGGAGCACCGAGTGCAGCCCTGCCCATTGTGCACCCTCCCCTCACAAGCCCAGCGCAGGCACTCTCTACACTCCGACCTCTGCACTGCAGCCTCCCCTCTCATCGGCTCTGTCTGGGTGCCTACGCTGGCCATCGCCGGGGCACCCAGAGCCCAGCTCCCAGACCAGGCCCTGGTCATGAGGCGAGCGTTCCCCATCCCGCCCGCCTGCCCGCGCTAACTGCCTCCACCCGCCCTGGTCGCCGCGATCCCCGGGGCAGGTTTTTACCCAGCCAGGGCTGGTGCCGCTCCTCCGGGCACCGCCCCCTGTGAGTCCCTGCTCGCGTCAGCTGAGCTGCCGGCTCCTGGGCAAGTCCTGTCGAGGACGTGAGGCTCCCTCGGTGGCTGGTGCCGCTCTGAGTTGAGGCTCCTGGACGCTGAGCTTCCCCCCGCTCAGGTGTTGAAGGCGTCCTCTATCCAGCTACTCACCTCAGCAATTGACCCCAAATCAGCAGTTGACCCCCACCTCAGCAGTTGACCCAGTCATTCAATTGGTTTTCCTTGCATACTGTTTCGACGTCTACATATCTCCTAGACTTTAATACGCAGCTCTGTGAAGCAGGGAAGAATAATCTCCAATGGGCTGACAGGTCCTAGCGGCACACACAGGCTTAGTGATTTCCCACAGATCAAGCAGCTTTGTGGCAGAGCAGCGATGATTATAACTGGGGCTTTCCAGAAGAGATAGGTACAAGCAGAAATCCCTGCTTGCTGCTTTTTGAGGCACTTAGGGTCACTGCTTCAGGAAATCTGAAATCACAGGATCCCATCAAAACTCGCCTATCAACCAGTATTAAGCTGTTCCTCCCCAGGGCTCAGCAGATGCCAGAACATACTCTCTGAAACATAACATTATTCTAAAAAATTTGGATTTTTCCAAAAGAAACATCCTCCTGATAAAAATTGTCAGGGTACCAGCGATGAGGGGATACCATGTTGGGAGGACAGGCTCATAAAACACTTTCAGAAAAGACTCCTTATGCTTTCAAAAATCACATTGAATTGACACCCGCTACTCCAGAAAAGCTTAGTATCAAGCAACATTTTTCCTCGAGTCTAAATGGCAGAGCTCATTGCTGCAGAAAACTTGCTGGTTATCATCCAGAGAAACAGAATATTTTCAAAATCTAGTTGAAGCTTTTGGTAGTTATTTTCTTCCTAAAAATGCAGCCTAATCATTGCTTTTTTGTACCTGAAAAACAGAAAAAGCAAGTGAAAAAATCTGCTTTAGAAGTTTTTCTCGTTCAGTTTAACGTGTGCGTGCAGTTCTACTCATGGTCTTTTTGAGACCCCTTGACTAGTCTGGCTGTGAACATCATGACACACGCCAGTTATCTTGCCATAACAAGATTCCATGCGACATGAGCGAAACGTGGGGCTCAGGGCACCCCGGGGGGACTCAAGTGACCAGGGGAGAACAGGCCTTGTGCCCCTCACAGGAATACCCTGTCCCTCACGGTCTGAGTGGTGGGCTACCGTGGTGCCTTCTGTGACCAGCGCTTTGTGACGTGCCCTTCGTGACCCACCATGTTGCCCTTAGCGACGTTCTCGTCGTGACCCACCATGCTGCCCTTAGTGACACGCCCTCTCTGACCCACCATGGTGCCCTTAGTGACGTGCCCTTTATGACCTACCATGGTGCCCTCAGTGACGTTCCCTTTCTGACCCACCATGGTGCCCTTTGTGACGTGCCCTAGGTGACCCCCCAGGCCACCGTATAAAAGGCAACGGGTCATACCGCTCATGCCAGTGTCCGGCAGGACAGTGACGGGACAGAGCGGGAGCGCAAGGCTGGCGCAGACCCCTGAGCGCAGCCCACGTTGTTCCCCGCTGCCCCAGCAGCCCTGCGGTGCCGAGACACTTCTTGGAACATTCTTCGTTCCCCGCGCTACACCTTTGCCTTGTCTGATGAGGATGGCGGAGGGACACGCTGCATCCATGCAGTTCATCCAGACTTTTCTGGAGAGCTCAGTGAAGGTAATTACAGCCATTTCCAGGGTAGCAGTGCCTGCGTTTCCTGACGGGGCCACCGGCTCTGCTGCCAGGGCTGCTGGGGGCTGCTGGCTGGGCGCGGCTGCACCCCCGGGCTCCTGCACAGCACTGCAGCCCCAGTGCTCCAGTCCTGCTGGCCCCTTCTCACACTGCCCGTTTGTGTCTCTGCTCCCCGGCTGCCCAGGAGGAGGCTCAGAAGATTCGGTTCCTGCAGACCGTCTCCACCCTGAGCAAGGATGCCAGAGATGAGGGCTTCACACAGAAACTGAAGGAGTTCTACCACCGATTTCAGGTGGCAAAGAACATCGAGGTGAGGGGACCCCCGGCTGCTCTGGGGAAGGGGGCAAGTTGCCAGGCGCCGGCACACTGTGAGGACACACGGGGCCCATGCAGGGGGAGGGCAGGGACCAGCGTGCGCGGACAGACACTGAGCTGCCTGAGGGGATGCGGGTGTCGCTGAGCAGCCCTGCAGCAGGGCCGTGCTGGGGGCCGGTGCTGGGCTGGGGACAGAGGGTCTCCACCAGCCCTGCCGCCTGGTGCCTGCGGCCACCAGGTCCCATCCCGGTTGTGTTCTGCAGGCGCTGGTGGAAGAGGAGCCCGTGGACCACCTGCACACGGCCGTGCGGCAGCAAGCCATGCTTGCCCTCGCCCATATGAGGTATGTGCCCAACCCCTGGTTTGGCTGACACCTCTGCACAGTCCGTGGCCCTGGGCCTGCCCATGGGCATCTCCCATCCCGGCAGAGTCCAGTGGTGCCCTCAGAGGGCCTGCTCTTTGCCCTGCTCGCGGCTTGCGGAGAGATGGA